CCACGAAAGTGAATGATAAAATAAAATTGAAGAATTTTACCAACTTCTTTAGTCTGAAATTGAGCAAATGTGCAATCAAGATGCATTGAGAATTACTGGTGATTGAAATGCTAAAGTTGGAAACAAAGAGGAAGGATTGGTAGTTGGAAAATATGACCTTTGTGACAGAAAGACTCCTGGAGATTCCAGGATAGAGTTTTGCATGACCAACCACGTAATCATTTTTAATACTTTTTTCTTCAACAACAAAAACAGTGACTATACACATAGATTCGCCAGATGGTGAAGTAATCAAATTGACTACATCTGTGGGAAGAGATGATGGAGACGCTCAGTATCATCAGCCAAAACAAAGCAGGAGCTGACTGAAACAGAACATCAGTTTTTCATATACAAGTTCAGGCAGAAGTTGAAGAAAATTAAAACAGAAGTTGAAAAAAATTAAAATGCTAGACCTAAGATATGACCTTGAGTATATCCCATGTGGATTTAGAGGCCATCTCAAGCACAGATTTGATGCATTAAACACTAATGAGGAGCAGCTGTGGAATGACATCAAGAACATCATACACGAAAGCAAAAGGTTTCATTATAAAGACAAGAAAGAAAGAAAAGACCAAAATGTCTATCAGAACAGACTCTGAAACTTGCCTTTGAATGTAGATGCGCTAAAGCAAATGGAAGCAATGATAAGGTAAAAGAGCTGAACAGATAATTTCAAAGGACAGCTTGAGAAGACAAAGTAAAGTATGATAATGAAATGTGAAAAGACACAGAGTTAGAAACCTAGAAGAAAGAATATGCTCAGCATTTCTCAAACTGAAAGAAATGAAGTAAAATCCAAGCCTAGGCTTGCAATATTGAAGGAGTCTATGGGGGAAAAATATTGAACAATTCAGGAAGCATTGGAAGGAATATACAGAATCACTGTAGCAAAAAAGAATTGGTTAACATTTAACCATTTCAGGAGGTAGCATATGACCAAGAATCAATAGTACTGAGGGAAGAAATCCAAGCTGCACTGAAGGCACTGGTGAAAACCAAGGTTCTAGGAATTGATAGAATACAAATTGAAATGTTTTAGCAAATTGATGCAGTGTTGAGTGCATTCACTAGTCTATGCCAAAAAATCTGGAATATAGCTCTACCTGGTAATCAAATGGAAAAGATCCATATTTGTGCCCATTCTAAAGAAAGCTCTGGTAGCGAGCTGCAAGGTTAGCACTTTGAAACTACCAGCTGTTCTGTGGGAGAAAGATGAGGCTTTCTGCTCCCGTAAAGATTTACAGCCTTGGAAACCCTGTACAGGGTCACTATGTGTCAGATCCAACTCCACAGCGCATAACCACCATGACCACCAAAGAAAGGTGACCCAACAAAACAATATCAGTAATATCATGTGCAAGTAAAATTTTGCTGAAGGTAATTTAGAAATGGTTGCCATGGTCCATCAACAAGGAGCTGCTAGAAATTGAAGCTGGATTTGGAAGAGGACGTGGAACAAAGACTATCACTGCTGACTTTTTGGCTGAAAGCAGAAAATACCAGAAGAAAATTGACATTTGCTTTATTGACTTTGTGAAGGCATTCAATGGTATGGATCATTACAAACTGTGGATAACATTGTGAAGAATGGGAATTTCAGAACACTTAATTGTGCTCTTACAGAACCTGTACATAGACCAAGAGGCAGTTGTTCTAACAGAACAAGGGAATACTGTGTGGTTTAAAATCAAGAAGGAGTGCATCAGGGTTGTATCCTTATATCGTACTTATTCAAACTGTTTTTTGAGCAAATAATGTGAGAAGCTGAACTTTATGAAGAAGAACATGACATCAGGATTGGAGGAAGGTTCATTAACAGCCGGTAATATGCAGATATACAACATTGCTTGCTGAAAGCAATGAGGACTTGAAGCACTTGCTGATGAAGGTCAAAGAATAGAGTCTTCAGTATGGATTACAACTCAATATAAAGAATACCAAAATCCTCACAATTGAACCAATAAACAACATAATGATAAATGAAAAAAGATGGAAGTTATCAAAAATTTCATTTTACTTGGATCCATAGTCAATGCTCATGTATTTTATTGGGCAAATCTGCTGGAAAAGACCTCTTTAAATCATTAAAGAACAAAGATTTCACTTTGAAGATAAGGTGTCCCTGACCCAAGTCATGGTACTTTCAGTTAGTTGCCTCATATGCAATTGAAAGTTGGACACTGAGTAAGGAAGACTGAAGAAGAACTGATGCCTTTGAATGATGGTATTGATGAAGAATATTGAAAGTACCAATACTCATCTGTCAGTTTGTCATATTGTGTTGGCTTGTGTACTGCTGTGAATCTGGAAGCTCTGACACTGCTATTTTAAATGTAATCAGGGACAACCAAGGTGGAAACATTTCCATGGAGCTTCAAGAATAAGACAGACTAGGAAGAAGGAGAGTCAGGTCAGTTTTGAAGGGTTAGCTGTTGAAAACCATATGAATAGCAGCAGAACACTGTCCCATATACACCAGATGATGAGTCCCTCAGGTTGGAAGGCACTTAGAATATGATGAGGGAAGAGATGAAGTTAATGATGTGTACAGAGCACAGCTTTTGGGACCTTCATTTGCTAATAGGACACAACTAAAATGACATGAAACAGCTGTAAACATTCATTAAAAGTATGTGGTTGTTATTATTAATGTTGTCATCCAGTTGGTTCCGACTCATAGCAGTCCAACACACAACAGAACAAAACACCGTATGGTCCTTCACCATCCTTGCAATTGTTATGTTTGAGTCCGTTGGTGCTGCCACATGTCAATCTAGCTCATTGGGAGTCTTCCTCTTTTTCACTGATCCTATACTTTGAGTCCTGGTGTGGTGCTGTGGGTTAATGCACTGGACTGCAAAGTCGCTTCAAACAGCGGGGTCAGCAGTTCAAGATCACTAGTTGCTCCTCGGAAACCTTATACAGAGTCGCTGTGTATCAGAAATGACTCGGCAGCAACAAGAACAAACACGTTGCCAAGTATGGTTTACTTCTCCAGGGACTGGTTCCTCTTGATAATGTGTCCAAATTAAGGGAGACAAAATTTCACCATCCTTGCTTCAAAGAAGCATTCTGGCTATACTTCTTCCAGGACAGATTTGTTTGTTCTTCTGGCATGGTACTTTCAATATGCTTCTCCAATACCATAAATCCAATGTTTTGAGTCATCTATTGTTTTCTGTATTCATTGTCCAATTTCACATGTCTATGAGGTAATTGAAAATACCATGGTTTGGGTAAGACACACCTTAGCCCTCAAACTGACATCTTTGCTCTTAAACACCTTAAAGAGATCTTTTGCAGCAGATTTGCCAAATGCAACACATCTTTTGATTTCTTGACTGTTATTTCCATGAGTATTAATTGTATATCCAAGCAAAATGAAGTATTTTACAACGTAAATGGAGGTTGCTCTATGAACTGATGTATGTGGAACTTTGTGTGAGCATCCATGGGAAAGCGTGGTGGGAAAGGCATGTGGGCATCACTCTGGGTTACAGGGGTGGTGAGTAACTGAAGGAGGAGGGGAAAAAAACAAGAATAAGGGATGTGAACTGAAGAAGCACTCAATCTATGCATGATGGTTGCTTATTGGTCCAATGGCGCAGATTTTTGTTTCCTTTACAAAATATGAATCTAGGAAAATTAAAAGTCATCAAAAATGCAATAGAATGCATAAAGATTGATGTTCTAAGCATCAGTGAGATGAAATGGACTAGAATTGACCGTTTTGAATCAGACTATAATATGGTTTATTGTGCCAGCAATGTCATATTGAAGAGGAATGGCATTGCATTCATCATCAAAAGAGAATTTCAAGATTTATCTGGAAATACAATGCTCTCTGTGACAGGATTATATCCATATGCCAACAAGGAAGACCAGTTAATGTGACTATTATTCAAATGTATACACCAATCCAATGATGAAGATTTTAAAGAATTCTACCAACTTCCTCAGTCTGAAATTGATCAAACATGCAGTCAAGATGCATTGATAATTACTGTTTTTTTTAAATTATAAAGTTAGAAACAAAGAGGACTGGTAGGAAGTTGGAAATTATGACTGTAGTGATAGAAATAATGCTAGAAATCACGTGATAGATTTTTACAAAACCAGTGACTTACTCATTGCAAATACCTTTTTTTTCCAACAATGTAAATGATGACCATAAACATAGACCTCACCAGATGAAATATTCAGGAAGGAAATTTACTACATCTGTGGAATGAGACCAGGGAGAATTTCAATATTATCAGTCAAAATAAGGCCAGGCACCAACTGTGAAACAGCCCATCAGTTGCTCATATGCAAGTTCAGGCTGAAGCTGAAGAAATGTAAAACAAATCCAGGAGAGCAAAGTATAACCTTGAGTATATCTCATCTTCTCAAGAAGAGGTTTTGCATTAGCTACTAATGATTGAAGACCAGAGGAGTTGTGGGATTACATTAAGCGCATCGGACATGAAGAAAGCAAAAGTCATTAAAAAGACAGGAAA